CGATTCTATAAAATTAATCGATTCTCAGAATCGATTCTAAATTAATCGATTCTAGAGAATCGATTCCTATCCCTACTCAGTGACATTATCAGATTTTGCTATAGTCTCATTCCTATATTTATGGATTTAAAACATTTATTGCATGTAATATATGGAGAAAAAAGAGTGTGTATGAAGAGAAAAATCATGGAAATTTTAATGCGAACATAATTTTGTCGAAATTCTTAATGCCGACCTAACAATAATCATAATTCTGGTAAAATTTAAGCGGTGAAATTTTAAATTTCTTATAAACTTTGCAAACTAAGTTGAGCTCTAAATTTTTTTAAAGCTGCCATATTTTATTGGATGTAACTAGACTTGGCAATATGTTTCCACTATTTCTAATAGTTGTTGCAACCTTTGTAATAAATCAAGAAGCTATAATAAACTCTTCCGTAAATTAATCTCTGAAATAACGATAGCTATAGCGATAGACCATTGAACAAGCCAAGTCATTCTACAGATTGCAAAAGAAAATAAATAAAATCGATATAAAAACTCCAAGAGACCACAACAACAATGTAATTTTAGATTCACATAAGTCTGGTACATGTAACTAAAGGCGTGCATTTTTCGGTGCATTATTCATTTGAATGCTTTTTGATGCAGAGAGTTTTATACATGTATTAAATTATAACAACAATTTTTGCTTTTCACTTTTAATGACTAAACATAGCGAAAGCAAGAAAGATTAAATTTTTTTTATATTCAAATTTGATGCATAATTTTTGATAACACTGGCATGTTTGGAACTTGCGATAATAGCCTCACGAATGAGAACTCCTTCACTTTGGTACTGCATTCGAATATTGTGAAAGTTGCCAATTTCCTGGGAAAAATTACTGTCTACTCGCCACGTCAAACCAGGCAAGTTTTCTCTCATATGTTGACCAATCTCATCGTTAAACATATCAAGAATCTTTATGGCGCTTTCACTAAACGGAGCGACCATTTTACAGATGTTTTCATAAAGATAAGATTTCATGATTGACCTTTCTTTTCCGATTCGAACCTCGGGCGGCGTCTAAAAATTCATAAAACATGAATACTTGAGAAATGCCAAAGTGTTATTTGATATTTATTATTCACATGAATGACCTTTTTCACAGAAAAAGTTATTTCTACTTTTGTCTCGTTTGCGATTATAACTTCCATAAAAACTTTTTTCAATACATTCAAAAATTCATCAACCCTGGACGCAATCAGTGATTCCATAATATCAGATGATGCCAACTTGCGATTCTCGATGGGCTCCGAAAAAGGCATACGGAAATATTCAAACTCCCTTTTGAGATGCTCGAGAAAAGTTGGTTGACCACAGCTCAAACAAGGCGACGAAGAATTTGCTAGCGGGAGATGGATTCGTCCTGTTCGGTAAAATTGTAGAATGTACCAGAACAAGTGGCCATCTCGATTATAGAATAGTTCGTTGGTTTCATTTTCCTCAATATCATTGGCAATAAGACTATCAGGATAATTTATTAGAGTTGATCGTTTCGTTTCATACTAATAAGAAAATGAAAAAAAAGATCGTTTCATCATTAAATTTTATAAAAAAAAATGTGCAAATCTTTTTTTACCTTGAACCCGCCAATATTTAGTTTAATTCTGCGATCTGCAAGCACATAGTATTCATTATTTTGTGACATTTTTTTTGTAAGTAATTTGAAACGCAACAACGATAATAAATAAAACGAAAATAAAATCCTTACGAGACTAAAGGATAAATGTACATGTATATGTAGGTGTGACTGAAACTAGTGTACATGTACATGTGATTATCGATCAAACTAAGGCATTTTTTGAAAAACTGCATCATGCATTTTTTACATAACGATAAAACTTGATTACATATATTTAACGTTAAGCGTTAACGTTAATGTATTCATTCGACTAAATCTTCAACGATAATGTGCATTAACGTTAAAACGTATCGTGTAAATTTAGATTACAAATTTTCCCACGTGAAGATAAATGCACATTGGAAAATTTCCTCTTGGAAAGAACGTGAGACTGTCTGACTTCACTTCTATCATTATTTGACTCTTTAATATCAGATTTATTTTTAAACTTCTTTATGACGCCTGCTAAATTCTTTGGATTTCCATATCGGGAATATCCCTTGCAAATTTGAGTTTCCAGCTTAATTTTTATATTTATACATGTAGTTTAGAAAATTATAACATTATAAGGAATTATCAGATAAAATCAACACAATGAAGACCTGGATCAAAATCATCTCACTACCACTGAATTCCTTATTCTATGAAAAGTATATCACTAGCAATAAATGTTTTTAATACAGTTGTTATGTTCATTTAACTGGCAACTAAAACGAATCTCAAAATAAATAGGCTCTAGAAAAGGCAATTACATGAACATGTATTTATTTTATTATCGTTCTCGTTTTACATTCATTGTACTGTACATGTATATCAAAGAAAATTTTGACTCGAAATCCAAATTCAATTAACGTTAATATCGAATGATAATCGCCGATGATGTATTCAACAAAAATTTCTTTAAAATCTATTATTCGCCAACCAAAAAATATTTTATCTCCTCGACGAATAATTCAACCAAAAAATTTTTCTAATGAGCATCATCTTTCTCTTCAAAGAAATACACTAGAGTATGATACTTTTCAAATTAGAACTATGTCAATAATCAGAACAAGAAATTTTCATCAACAAATGGCTGTTCGTTCATTTTCTACAACTACTTTTGCTCGTGCGCAAGAAACTAATTATTCAAATGAATCTTCCTGGATCAATGAAGACGCAAAGCATGTCTCTTGAGCAATAATAATAATTAATGTTATTCTTTTTATTACGAGAGTTTAAATTTTTATCTATGGATTATTTTTACAGGAAGGTCAACTCAATTTCCCTTAAAATTCTTGAACTTGCACTTGGATTTGTGCCAAAACATGGCTGGTCAGTTGAAGCTTTATCAAAAAGTGCAGAGTCGTTAGGATACTTATCAGTTACTCATGGAATGTTTCCACGTGGTGAAGTTGATCTGATTGACTATTTCTTGGAGGAATCTCGACGAAAAATGACGTTTGAAATTAAAGACAAAATGCACGGGTAGGTATTGGATCTTATTAGTATAATCCTATCTACTACATGTAACTATTAACTTTTCTATTTGTTCGTCAGATTGCGAGTACCGCAAAAAATTCGATTGGCCTGCGTTACTAGACTTAATTTGACTAAACCACTGATTAATCGATGGCCAGAGGTACGCGCTCACACGTTTCTTTTAATATTTTTTGGAGCTGTTTATTAATGCATTGGGATAGGCACTAGCAATTCTGGCGCAACCAAATAATGTTGGATTGTCTGCAAAACATCTTGCCAAGCTTTCCGATGAGATCTGGTTTCTGGCAGGGGATAAAAGCGCAGATGTGAGTCAAAACTATAATTTATTGTCCCTTGAGTTATGAGTATTTAATCGAATTTTTCGCTGATGCTCTAGATGAATTGGTACACAAAACGCGGTGAACTGGCTTTAATTTATGCTGCAACTGGTACTACTTGTTTCTTTGATTGATTTCTTTTCAATTTTTATCTTTCTTCTGATATGTGTTTTTATATAATACGAAAAAAGAACTGTACATGACACAAGACAAGTCTCCAGAATATCAGGCAACGTTTGAATTTTTGGACAGAAGACTGCGAGAAATTGCAATCGTGGGTAAAACCATTTCGGAAGTAAATACGTTTGCGAGATTTATTAGACAATCCATTTCTGGTGTTTTAGCTTCGGTAGGTTGAAACGGTCACACTTTGTAATTCATTCAGTCAACCTGATTTTTAATTCGATATTTTCGTCAAAATGCATGTAGAAGGGAATCAAATTTTATTGATCTCGGATATGCAATGTTCATGTACGTCATTGGTCATACATATCGTTATTTGCATAAAAACAGAGAATTATTAGTGGACAGCAATCACCTTATCGGAATCGTCATCAACTGCAGTTTACATGATGACATGTACATGCACTGCTATTTTCTATTTTCATTCTAAATAACGATAATCCGAAATAAAAATTATTATTTTTGTTCTCTTCTGAGTTTTTTGGCTGACACGTATAATAATAAATCATATACGTAATAAAAATAAAAAATAAATAATGGATACATCGCAATCAAATGAAGCGGTGGCGTCGTATTCGTCAAAAACAGATAATAGTCATAACGATAACAATAACATAAATGACAATGACAGTAACAATCAGGAACAACGATTATCAAGTAAAGTGCCCATAAATAACAACAGTAATGATGATAACAACTTTGGTCAACAATTATCAAGCAATGAGCAAGCATCCACCACAAATAATCAACCACAACTTCCACCGACAAGTGACAATAAATTCCATAACTTATCCAATTTTCATGCTGCTGAAAGACAACGAGCAATACTTGATTCGACCAACAACCATATTATCAGCGTGAATGCAAATAATATACAATCAGCACAAGTTTCAATTAAACAACAAGCACCTCAAGTCATCATCGATAGTCGAGGAGAAGCTGATGTGGAGCGATATGAAGTGATTTCCGGTGTTTCGGATAATGATCGTAATAAAAATTTAAAGCCTTTTCTTTTTACTATTAGCTTATAATGATTCTCAAACTTTAACTTGAATAGAAATATCCAGTGACGAATTTTTTGAGGATGATTCATCTGAATTATCTGGAAATGAAGAATTTCAAAGCCCTGATGAAGATGATAAATGTGTGATTTCACGCTCTTTTTTTTGTGCGAATTTGATATATCAACAAGAAGGTGAAATCCCTTTTATTATTTTTTTATAGCAACTATTGAGGTAAAAAAAGAGATTGAAACGAGTTCCACTTCTATTCAGGAAAAGGTGACTACATTTATGATTCCATTTTTCTTACTATTCCATTTGATTAACAGGGAAATTCTTTTAAAATAAAGAGTTTAGATCAATCAATAATTACCGAAGAAGAAAAGAAAGCCAATGCGGAATTTTTTTCTGGTAAAGCTGCTAAAACTCCCGAGCGGTACATGAGAATACGTAATCACATACTAAACGCATGGATAAACGGCAAACCAAGCTATGTCACAAAAACCAGCATTCGTGCGGGATTAAAAGTAAAATAAAAAAAAGTTTAACTATCTTCTTTCGCATATTCCTTAAGATTTAAGAATTTTTTTTGGGAAAAAGGATTGCGGAGATGTCAATGCCATTGGACGTGTTCATAGCTACTTGGAAGAAATTGGTGCTATTAACGTTGGTGAAGTGACACCAAAGGCTAGGCGACCTTATCAAAGACGAAAATACGAGGAAATAATTTCTGATGAGCAAGATAATGCTCGATCTATTTATTTCGATAATGATGAATGGACGCCGACTGGGTTAGTTGCTTTGAAAATATTATTTTTGCACATGTCAAACAAAACTTATTAAACCTGATAATGGCCAATTAGACCCAGGCGGAGAAGGATCAAGGATGAATCTGGTCGTTGGTACTACTATTTATTTGGCTATTTTAATTTTTGAATTATTTTAATTGGGATTCAATATCAAGGGTCGACGAATCAGATTATCTAAATTATCTGGATTCCAGCCCAGGTATTTTTATTCTAATTTATAGTAGTAAAGAAATAAAGTATTTAGATGATTCATCCATCATATTTTTGCAGATTATCTGGGTTCTCGCACGAAACAGAGACCAAGAAGAATTCGGAAACAGCGTCGTATAAATTATCAAGAGATATCCTTTACACTATAAAATTTTTATATTTGCTGCGCGGTACGAGAATAGAACTCGATGAAATGAAAATTTCTTAACATTTTATTGAACGACGATGATTCTATAGCGTATGATCCATTCCAATTGGTTCCTCCAAATGAACACGGAGAACTGCATCCAGCACCTTTTCGTGTAAATATCGAAGAAAGTGTATTGGTAAGTTAAAAATATTAGTAAAATACTTTTAAAATTTGAATTCTTAATGTAATTATTTTTATCCAGCTTGTCATGGACTTTCATTCGCATCTTTCGCATACTGAAATAATTGGTTTACTTGGCGGTAAGTATCACCCCGAACAAGGCTTGTTGGAAGTTTCTTACGCGTTTCCCTGTCAAAGCATCAGTACTGGCTATCAAGTAAGAACATTTATTGTCATTATTAAATTACCTTTAAGGATAACAAACCCTGGATAAAAGGAATATAATTATTGATAGTGTGAGATGGACCCTGGGTCCGAAGTAAAGGCTAGAGAAGCATTCGAAGATCGAGGACTGGAAATTGTCGGATGGTACCATTCACATCCAGTCTTTGATCCTCATCCGTCAATTCGGGATATGGAAAATCAAGGCCGCTATCAGGTATGATCAAAATATAACCAGTCAAACCATGTTACTGATAGTTCAAGTTAAAAGTGGGGTTTTTTTTGAACAGGATTACTTGGCTCGTCCGTTTATTGGAATAATAATTAGTCCATATAAACCTGGAAATGGTAGCAATGTGTCGAAATTACAGTTCTTTTGGGCAGATACGGAATTTGATCCTTTAGGCATTTACAGTAAGTGAATCAAACTATGGTATAGCTCTACACTTCATTATTTGAGAATTTGAGTAATTTATTTTTTATAAGGATTACCATATACATGCTTGACCAAGGTGGTGCATCCTCCTACTTGTCCTGTCGAGCTTTTATCTACTCAATTTGCAGATCTTTTATCAGAATATCGCGATCACAAAGAGTGTGTAGTTTTAAAGTATTAATGAATCCTTGGCCAAATTGGTTGTTTATTAATGCTTAAACATTCAATACAAAAAAAATAGCCGTGTCGATATGAACAGCGCATGGTGTAATGGTGGTACCTCCAGGCTCGATCATCTAATTGATTCACTATCCTCCCATTTCGGAATTGAAGGAGAACCCGCGCAACTTTTTTTGACAGAAATTCGATGTCTAATCGAGCAAAATTTTACCCCGCTCAGACACGAAGCTCCCGACAATTCTATTCTTGCTGATTTGAAAGAAGATAATAACACATTTCAAGTATCTTCATCAAGAAGGATAGTACCGCGCACTTCTGGTAAAACTTATGATCCAAAAATGTTTGAAGCACGTGTTGAAGAAGAACGTCGAAATGATGCTGCAAAAGCTAAATTGCGGGCAGGCAAGAAGCGTCTGCCGTCTCCTGACCCGGCTTTTGCGGACACTACCGAGTATTATGAAGAGGATCAAGGGCAAACTTTCATTAATACTGTTCAAGCTGATCAGCTGCCCGTGACTTCCGAAATTAAACTTGAAGAAAGCGGTGTGAATATTGAACAAGAAATCAAAATAGAAATAGAGATAAAGAATAAGGAGGTAGTGAAGTCTGAGTCTCCACTACAAATTTGAAACTTGTTTTTATTTATTATTCTTATTGTTGGTATTTTAAACATTTTGCTATTGTTGGCGGGCGATGATATTAAAAAGTATATGTCGACAAATTTTGGGGTTTTATTGTTCATTTTATATAGTTATATTTCATTTGGAGTAGACTTTGTATTTTACATTCGGTAAAAATACAATTGCAGGCAAACGTATCGGTATAGTAAAAATTAAATCGGATCTTTGCCTCTTACGGGTAATGTCGTCGCTACTCTGATTGGTATTTACCAAAAATAATATTCGTATTGATGTGTGTGAGGAAATTTACATGTTCTGATTGGTTATGTCTGTTACAATTGCCACCCATAAGCATGTTCATACATATATGTATATCGGCGGCGGGCAATTAATGAATCATCCAGTCAAAGTTCGTTAAAAATATTGATTTATTGGGGATATTGTATTATATCAAAATAGAATAAATAAGAGCTAATTTTTATAACATTTGATATCAAACAAAATACGTATTACCACCAAATACGTATTACCTTATTTAAAAACATACTAAAAAAAATGTCGAATGATGAAAAATTCACAAATATCTATGTTGGCAACCCGATAGAAATCAGGTCGAATGAGATAATAGAGCAACAACCTCGTTCATTAACACCTCTTTCACGTGTAGTAACCTCGAATCATAGTCTTCCAGAATTACGAATTCAAACAGCGACATCGTCACCTTCGAATTTGGTAGAAGAGAAAGTATCAATGGATAGAAAAGGATCACTTGTTGAAGAGGATGTTTGTTTTCCGGGAAATTCTTTAAACGAATCAGAAGGAATTGATTATCAAGCATTGGATGAATACCTTCAGGAGACAAGGTTAGCGCGGAAAGAGGGATCTTCCGAGGAAGATTTTCGATTGACGTCGCCTATACAGAAAGTTCCCGCGTCTAATTATCAGGGTAAACTTGGAAGAAAATTAAGTTTTTATAGTGATCGTATCAAGGTATCATTAAACTACCACTTTTTTTATATATCAGAAAAAAAGTTCGATATTAATTTGAGAATAATGATAGCCAGCTAATGAGGATTTGAAGGAACATTTGCGATATACGTTCTATTCGATAACGACTGGCTCAATACGAGCGCATTCATTATGTGATATTGCGCCTAAAGGAACAACTTTAAGTGAACTATTAAAAAAAGGGGTATTTTGGCTTGATATATTGAAACCTACAGAATCCGAAATGCGAATTTTAAGCAGAGTAAGGAATATCGAGTTGAATTTTGTATTGAATTGGATTAGTATTAAAACTTATCTCCTAGATATTCCATATTCATCCGTTAACTATTGAAGACATATTTACCGAAGAATCCCGAGAGAAATGCGAACTTTTTAAAAATTATTATTTTATTTGTTTTCGAACGGTAAACTTTAATAATCTAAACTCGGATGATTTGGAGCCATTAAGCATGTATAATGTTGTACTGAGGGAAGGAATTTTGTCGGTGAGTTTGTTATTTAAAATTATCAGAAATATTGTATATATAATTCTTAAATTGATTTACTTCTAAACGACTAGTTTCATTTCGAGCATGCACCGCATGCACGAAATGTCAGACATAGAATTAAACAGTTAAAAGACTTCATCAAAGTTACTCCAGGTTTGTTGTTGTTCATTCTACAATTTCATATTTAGAAAAAATATTTATAAAGCGACACATTCCCACAGATTGGATAAACTATGCAATTATGGACGACATAACCGATTCAATCGCACCCATTATTCAAAGCATCGAAGCGGAAACAGAGACTGTCGATCAATTGGTAATGATTCTCAAAGAATCCGAGCAATCAGACATGTTACGAAGAATAGGGAATTGCAAAAGAAAAGTACTTGTGTTGCTTCGGTTATTGTCGTCTAAAGCGGATGTAATTAGAGGTCTGATGAAACGATGCGAGGATCGATTATTGTTATCGGCGGCTGGTGAAAAGAATGGACTCGGTGATGTGAGTCTTTATCTTGGAGACGTTCAAGGTAAGAAAGAATATGATCGAGTTCAGTTTTATTGTAACCGAAAGATTAATATTATAAATTATATTTGTTCTCGCGATATTTATTATAAAGATCATATAATCACTATGCTTCAGAATCTCGTTCATTGTGAGAAAATATTGGATCGATCTCATACAAATTATTTGGCGCAGATTTCTATCGAAATAACAAAACTTAGCAACCTTACAAATGATGCAATTGGGAAATTGACGGTTTTTGCGACAATTATTGTTCCGTTAAATTTAGTACCAGGTAATATGTAGTTAAACTTAATAATTTTGCTGATTCCATTTTACTAATCGGTATTCGTTTTTAATAAGGCTTTTGGGGAATGAATGTCAAGGTTCCTGGAAGAGATGAAGACGATTACGTATGGTTTTTTTGGATTGTCGGGTAAAATTTATATTTTTTTTCGTATCGGTGTTTTTATTCTTTGGTTTAATTTTCTTTGTCTTTATTCAGATCCTTGGCATTTTGTGGCATTTTTGCGGCAATGGTGGCAAAACGATACGGATTTTTATAATGAAAAATTAAAAACATTTATATGTATTTCAATCAATATCTATATTACACTTGTAAACGTCATTTTTCGTCTTTTATAATTCAATTTGAAAATTAATTAATTCCCGTTACAAATAATAAACGTATTCTGAAAATAAGTATTCAAACTAATCTCCCTTTCTCGCCAAAAGGTCTCCTTCAAGTACTTACATTAATTCCAAAATGATGATGTTTGCATCTATTTTGATTTTTAGATAAATTACTCATTACCGTTACATGTACTTAACAACGGTTTTATCACAAAAGGAAAAGCAAAATGAGTACATGTACTTTGAATTTAGAAACTTAAGTAATTACTAGAAATTAACTAAATTAAGGATTTCTTCGCGACCGCGCCCCAGCCGCAAGATTTACATGCGTCCGAGGAATTCTTTTTTCTTTACGGTCAAATGTACTGTTTCCGTCTCTCCACTCCAGCGACGTTAATAAAAATGGCAACAATGATGGAACTGGAACGATGGTTCCTTCAATTGGGAAATGACAACGGAAACGGCAACCATTAAATTGTACTTATCTTGTTTATAAAATCCATTTAGTTAATTTCTTCGCCATATTTGTGAATTTTAATAGAAGTAATTAAATTTATAAAGAGAATAAGTCTGTTATTATTTTTGCTTAGAGATATAATTAATAAATCATTAATAGATTAAATTAAGACATATATAATTGCTTATGTAAAAACGAATAAATAATGATAGCGATAGAAACAAAACTTAGACTTATGAGATTGCTTTTACAAATTTTATTTAATTTTAAGCTGTCCGATCAAAGAGAATTGAGACATAACGCTAAAGAAAGTTGATATGATCTTTAGCGAATAGAGTAGGTTTCACCCTGGGTAAAACCAGGGCTAAAAAAATTAACAATTTACCCTTTTTTTGCCCAAGAGCAAGTTTCATTTCCAACTATATCTCATGTTTTAGACTAGACTAAGATTGCATCTCTGTCGATGGTTCACTGACATCCAATGACTTTTTGCTCGTGCAAGTCATTATTTATCTTCATGTTTTTACCATTAAAATGTGCAAGTTATCGCTTTCGAATAATATTCGTTAATCAAGATTTAATCCATTGCCAAATACATGTAATAATTATACATATAGTCAATATTTTTATATTCCTATTTATCCAATTTAAATTTTCAGGAGTTATAATAAAAATATACTATTATAGTAGTAATGCAAAAATCTTTAAATTCATAATCATGTAAGATTATATCAAATTATATATTTCATAATTTTCTTTAATTTTTATATATAGTTTTATTAATTAATTATTATTTACAGTGGCAATCAAAAAAAATGCAATGCTTGAATTTTTACTAATTGTAATTAGTAAAATGCATATTTTCCTTATATATAAAAATTTCAATTTACTAATAGATATTTTTCATTTTTAGCTCAAATGAAGCTAGAATTCTCTATTTATATTTTTTTTAGAGAGTTGTTTTGTATATAAAGTCAATTGATTTTTATTAGTTAAAAATTAATTGACTATATAGAACAACCTTAGAAAAATCTGAAAAAATATATGTTAAAATAGACAATCCTAGCTTCATATTAAGTTAATAATAAAAAAAATATTTACAGTCAAAATTCTATAATAGTCATATGCTTAAGTTAGGTATTTTATATACTTATTGTGAAATTGTGACTAAGATAAATAAAAATTATATAAAGTATAACTGATATCATAAAGATTTAGAAGTTTTAAATTTGAATATTAATTATTTAATAAAGAGTAAATATAATTAATATCTTATTAAAAATATTATTATAAAAATCTAAAAACAATTATAAATATAACTAACATTATATTTTTATTAATTATTTAAAGAAAAAATATCAGAAGTATATCAAAATTTATAAATATATTATTTATAATATAATAAATTCATTTAATAATATAATAATATAAGCTAATTTTTATTGAATTTAATTTATTTTTTATAATAAACTTATTGAGAAAAAGTATAATAATAAATATAATTAATAATAATTTTATAAAATATTTTGAGTAATTATCAAAATAATTTTTTATTTTTCTATATATTATATAAAAATTCTAAATCTTTATAATATTAATTATATATAATTAGATAGAAATTCAAGATAATTATAATATAATAATGTGATAAATATAAATATAACTATTTATAAAAGTTAATTATATTAATAAAATTTGAAATTTTTATAATAAAATATAATATAATTTATTTATAATTAAAATTAATTCAAAATTACTTTTGTAAAAATTATATAATTAGTTAAAAATCAAAAAAACTTTTTAAAATTACAAAAATTTAAATTATAATTTTATTTAATTCTTTATAAAAATATTCTGATATTTTTTTATATAATTTATATTTTATTATTATATATTTTATTTAATTAAAATATCTTTTTTATTAAAAAATCAATTTGAAAAAAAAATAATTTTTTATTTATTATATTTAATAATTAAAATCTTTTACTTTTTTATAATATAATTTATATTTTTTATTATATTTTTTTTTAAATTCATATAGATCAGTAGAAAAAGATTTGTATTTTAATATAAAAATTAATAATTATTTCTAATAAAAATTATTTAAATTTTAATTAATCTTTATACTTTTTTATACTAAATAAAAAATAATTTAAATTATTTTTTATACTATTTTAATTATTCTATTATATTTTAATTTAATAATAAATAAAGTATTGCTTTACTAAAAAAATTAAAATTAATTTTTTTTTAAAAAAAAATATTTTAAATATTATTATTATTAATTTATAATATTAGAACTTCAAATTATACAAGCAGATTTAATAAATATATTTTAAAATTTTATAAAATAAATTAATAGTTATAAAAATATTAAATTTAAAATTAAATAATTAAATTATTTATTATATATTTTTATATTAATTTTAATCAAATTTTATATAATAAAATTTAAAAAATAATCATTAAAAAAAGTTATTATTAATAAAAATATTTTTATAAAATATATATAATAAAAATTTTTATATTAATAGAAAATAATTTATATATATTATTTTTTACTTATATAAACTGTTATTTACTTATAAATATACTATTATCTACTTATAGATATATTATTATTTACTTATTTTATAACTATACATTTTGATCTCTAATAAATTTGATATTTATTTTTCTCTTAATAATTTAATAATATATAGATCATATTTATATTTTTATTTAAGAGTTATTAAGATATATAATTATATTTGATATATTACTTAATTTCTATTATTGACTTACATGAATAAAAAATATATTTAATAATATATCTAATTATATATTATCATTTATTAGTCTAATATAAGAGCTATATCTGAATCTGATATATATTATCTTAGCTTTCTGATTAATTTTTTAATGAGAATCAGATTTAAGATATATAATACTAAAATAGTATTTGTATCCTAACTTTATATTATATATTCAAATACTAATTAAGTATAAAATATATAGTACTAAATTATTAATTTTATATAATTTATTCAAATATTAATTAAGAATAATATATATAATACTAAATTATTATCATATCTGATAATATAATAAAGTATTTAATAATAAGTTATATAATACTGAATTATTAGCAGTTATTAACTTTATATAATTCATTTAAGTATTATCTGATAATAAGATATATAGTACTAAATTATTAGTTATTATAATATATTTAAATTAATTAAGAATAAGACATATAATATCAAATTATTAGTAATTATTAACTTTATATAATTTATTTAAATATCACTTAAATATAAGATATATAGTACTAAATTATTATTCTTACTTAATAATTTATCAAAGCATAATTTTATTATATATAGATATATCTGTAATAATTTTATCTTGATATTTTACTTTTTTTATTTGAAATAATACTCATTTAATAATCTATCAAAATATAATTTTAATATATCTTTTATTTATAATTGTAATCTTCTAATTATATAATATAATATATTCAGATAATTCATATAGAAAAGTCAGAATATAATATTATATCAGGAAAATTCACACAGAAGATTTAAGATATAAGTGATATTATTTAAAATAGAATTCATATAAAAAACTAAATCAAAAGCAGATAAGAGATTATATTTTAAAACTTATTCTTTATTTGTATATTCATTATTTGTTAAAATTACAGAACAGATACAGCATCTTTAAATAATAAATTAATATTATATAAAATTAATAATAAGATAAATAAAT